CCCTCCCACCCCCTCAACATGACGTCACCGCAGGACCCCTGGTTCCTGGTGGAGCTGCCGCCCAACGCTCTGGCCATGAACGACCACTACCTCACGCTGGCCCCATCCTGCGAGCAGACCGAGGACCAGATCAAGCGCCTCGTGGCCGCGGTGCGCGACAGGGACCGGTGACGCGCGCGGTCCGGCCGGCGGGCCCGCGTCGTCCGGCCCCTGCCGCGGCGGCTGCGCGGCGCGCTCGACGGGGCGGGCCGGTCGCCGGCACAGCTTGATCAGCACAGGCACTGCGCGTTCCAGCCTGGCGTGCGGCCTTCCGGGGCATGCGGCGCGATGCGGGGGGTGCGGCGAAGCCGCATTTGCGGGACCGCAGCTCAGGGCGCCGCTCGCGGGCGCGCCCCTTGAGGGGACGGGCACGAGCGGCGCCACGCCCGCGAGGCCGCGCGGGTGCCCCTGGGGCGGCTCAGGGGCGTCCGCTGGTTGCGGCGGGCGGGCCGCACGCCCCCCCTAGCTTGCTTCTGAGCCCCAGTCGCGTCCGTTGGATGACCGTTTGCCAAAAGGTCAGGCGGGCCGAGGCCAGCCGCGGCCTGTCGCCACCCTGCAAACCCAGCCGCGCCCAGCGACAGACGGCTCCCTTCGCCGATGCCTCGTTTCCAGTCCAATGATGGCTGCTCGGTGTGACTTGTTGCATCCATATTGTGCCATGACCAAAATGCGCGCGAGCCGTTGTGCCTCTCGGCGCGACGGGGGGCCTGGGAGCGGCCATGGGCGGCATCGAGCGCCGCTCCACCCCTCGCCCCGCGCTGCACTGACCGCATGCCCTTGGCGGTTCTGCCTATAATCTTCCCCTTTGTGCAACGCGGCGCCGCGGCACAGGCCCCGGCTGTTCTTCTTCCGACAGCCTTTACCTTTCGAACGCGGTCTGCTAGAAAGTCGCTTATGCTTCGTCGCATGCACGAAAAGTTTGTGGGCGTGTGTGCCCTGTCGTTTCGGCGTCGGGCCTGTCGCTGAACAGCCGTCCAGCTTACTTTTGCTTGACACCATCCCTTGTTTTTCGGCTCCTGCAGAGAAGCCAGCGCTTTTGTTTTTGCGCGGGTCGCATCTCATTGCTCTTGGGATGTGCGCCGCTGTCGGGCGCCCGTGCGGCGCGTGTGCACAAGGCAACCTCTCGGTTGCGCTGCGCCCTGTTCGATTCTGGACAGTTGCTGTTGCTGGGCACGGACCCCTGTCTAAATTTGTAAATTTATAAAATCTGAACAACTGACGTCGCTTATGATCCGTCGCTTATGATCCAGTCGCCTGCGGCGGGCTCACAGACATAGGCGTTACGGTAATGAGGCACCAACAGGTCAATCTAGCCCCAGTCACCCAGCATTTGGTCTGCCTTTCCACCAGTTTTGTGTACTCGCAGTGACAGCGGTGTCCAGTCAACTACAGCGCCTGCGTCGCAGCACTGAATCCGTGCGGCTAGGTTGAGGCATGCTTGGCTTGACACGATGCCGCAGCCCACGGTGTCACTAAGTGAGGGCGAGTGACCTACGCCACCATGAGTGGGGCCATCCCAGCCGGGTGGGGGTGGAGATGCGGAAGGCTTTTGTGCTTCTTGTCTGTTTGTTAACCTCCATCACATGATCTGATCGCTCGCGGATCTGCGGGAGACCGGCGATGATGCGAGCAGCCTCATTTGCAGGAGTGCGAAGTCACCTGCCTACACTTGCCTGGCCTCTACACCGCTCGCCCAAGCACCGCATGGTGCAGGGGTCGGGTGCGCAGCGGTTGAGCAGGGGCGTACCTGCTGCCGCCACATTGGCAGACAGTCGAGGCGACCCTATTGTCACAACGCAGTGGCTGGCAGCACATTTGGAGGTGGGCTTTCATCAGTGACGTCTACCAGACAAGACGCAGCGATTCTCCCACAAACAGTACACCCTGAGGCTCGATCACTGCCCGGACCCGCCACCCCGGCGCCTATGCCCAGCTATGCAACAGCAGCCGCGCACGGCGCGCCAAACACATTCCTGTACCAGGACGTGGCCATTCTGGACGTGAGGGGGCGTGTGGAAACCATTGGAGTGGGCCCTGGTGAGGAAAAATCGTCCTACCTGTCAGGCTATGATGACTACCTGGAAGGCCACATCCCTGTGAGAGAGAGTGGGTGTGTGTGTATCAGTGTGCATCTGTCGGCGTATAATCGCGCGCACGCGCATGTGTGTGTGTGTGCATGCGTGTGTTTGCACGTGCATGTGTGTGTGGATGTGCCCATGCACTGCACGGGAACGTGCAGGTACCATAATCGCTTTTGTTCGTATGCATGCATGCATGCATGCGTGCGTGCATGCGTGCATGCGTGCATGTATAATGGACGTGGGTACCATCATGCATGTTGTTTCGTGTGTGCATGGCACCAGGGCACGAAGGTAAGGCGCAGGGCAAGACTTGGGGCACCACTGTTACTGGGTCTGCTCTCCAAGCAGCTGCGGCGTCCCACCACCTGACCCATACGCATCCTCATAGCTTGTGTGTCACAGCGTGTCTGTCAGCTATCCAGGCTACCAGATTCTGCTCACCTCTACACCCCACACTGCACAGCCCACCCATGCCTGCGTTGACCTCACCTCTTCCTCATATATGCGGACCGCAGGGCGCCGTCTTTTTCAATTGGACGCGCGACGGCATAGACAGCAGCCAGCCCGCACCTGCGCAGGTGGGCTGCGAGTGGACCCGTTTTGGATCCGCCTTCCCTCGCATCAGCCACTCCAGGCTTCCGAGCGCGTCGGCGCCACACACGCATGCGTGCTGCATCGTCCGTCACATGCCGCCTTCTTCGGACGACTAGTTTCATTGCGATCTTCCACCAAACAGTAGCTGCCCCTCACTGCCAGCAGCGGCCCTCGTCAGCCACGCATATTGCCTGCGACAGGACCGCACCCGAGATCCGCACCCCGGCACCGCGCCCTGCCAATTATCCCTCCCCTCCTTCAACCCCCCTGACGGGGAATTGCTACAACCTGTGTACACAGCTCGAGAGCGACCCTGACCAATTCCACCCGATGCTGGAGTCCAAGGGCGTCAGCAGCGACCGCCCCGTGGTGGTGCGCCCGCGGCGGGGTTCAGCTCGGGTCGCCGGGCCAGACGGGGCGGGGCAGGGCAGGCGCGCTCGTGTCACAATGGATTTTGGGGGCCGCCGCTCTCGAGGCCTGCCTAGGGACGCCTGCGTTCGACACGGCGCTGCAGGCTGCTGTGATAGGGCGCCGCTTCAAGGACTCCAATGCATTGTGCCGGCCTCACTGCCCCCACACCCAGCCTCGCCGAGCCAAACCACACCAACCCTTGGACCTCTGTACTCCTGAACCTCTGCGCCTGAAACCTCCCACACCCTGCAACACCCTTGGTGGCCTTTAATCTCACACACTGTCACCCCCGCGCGTTCCAACCCCCTGGCTGAATAATCCACCTTCTTTTCTAGGTGTATGACTCGGGCGATGGCATGTTTGCGGCGCGGCTGTGGTGGGCCCTGTTGGTGCATGGCCACCCGCAGCCGCTCATATTGGAGGGCGGCTGGGCTCAGTGGCGGGCGGAGGGGCGCCAGTCGGAGCTCTATGAGCCCTGCACACTCAAGGTGCGAGGGCACGCAGAAGTTTGGGGCTGGAAACGCACGCATTTGCTGCCGCCGCCGCTGCTGTCGCAGCTGCCACTGCTACCGCTGCTGCAGCAAACCTGCGGCAGCAGCTCGTGTGCAGTTCCTCCAGGTTCCGTGCGCCCCACGCAGCTTGCGCTCGCCCCATACAGCTTGCATGTCATGCACCCCATCCATGTATCCTGGTCGCAGGCCATGCAGCTGACAGGCCACAACAATGGCCGGACCCTCCTTGCATGCGCCTGCACCTTTGCCACTAGACTTGCTGACTCCACGGCCACAAATATATTGGCGTTTTTGGTTGGCAGGTGGGGGCTGCAGGCAGTCTAATTGACTGGATGATTGCCAACTCAGGGTTCCTCTTTGATCTGTTCGCAGGTGCAGACTGCATTTGACGCCGAGAACGCTAGACCTCAGCCACAGGCGCGGGTGACTGCGGACGAGCTGGCGGCCCTGCTGGCAGCTGGTGGCGGCGGCGACGGCAGCGGCAAGCAGAGCACGAGCAGCAGCGTCGAGCTCGGCGTTTTGGTCGTTGACACGCGCAACGTGGAGCAGTACGTTGGCCAGGTGTGCAGGGCGGCATGTTTGTCCATCCTTTAAGAAATGCAAGTTTGAGGTATTACCAAACCATATATGCGTGCAGAAAACCACTGCGTGCTGATAGTGTGCACCCTCGTCCCGGCACCCAACTTTCCACGCAGGTGCGGCGCGGGCCCCGCGGGGGCCGCATCCCAGGGGCTGTCTCCCTGCCGCGCCGCGCGCTGATCGACGACTCGACAGGCTGGCTGCTGCCGTTGGAGCAACAGAGGCAGATCCTGATGGAGCGCTTGGGGCTTTCGGAGGCGGACCTTCCAGGAAGCCTCCCGGGGTCAGCGACTGGTGGCAAGACCACTAGTACGGAGGGCAGCGGGGTTGAGGGTGGCGAGCAGCGGCAGGTGGTGTTGTACTGCAACGGGGGGGTGGCGGCCTGCACCGCGGCGCTGGCACTGCAGCGGCTGGGGCACAGAAACTGGGCGGTGTATGATGGCAGCTGGAACGAGTGGGGGGCAAGGGATGACTTGCCGCTTGAGACAGGGGGTGGGCAGGCATGACTACGGGGTCACACATTTGTTGAGCGCATTCTTGCTGCAATTATGCTTATACCTGCGTATTGACAGCTGCTGTGCCAGTTCTCAACACGTCTGGATCAATTGTAAAATGAGCATCCGCTGCAGAAGTTGGGAGGGGGGTGGGCGGGATTGAATAGCTGCGGTGGGCACACAGAAGTGGCTGCAGCCTTGCGATGGGTCGCCAAACGTGAAAGTGCTGGGGCTTCTTGCTGTGGCGCTGTGACGCGGATGGGTAGCTGGCACTTACTCACGCATGTCGGTTTCTGCTGCACCCCGAACGCCAAAGTTGTTGGTGGTGGCGAGCTGGGTGATGGCGGACACGCCAGGCAAAGCGCAGCTCACCACTAAGCCCCTTCCCCCCTCGTACGGCGCCATCCTGACGGCTGTGCCAAGCCAAACGTCTTGGCTGGTTCAAAGGTGTGCATCAATGGCGACTTTTGCTGCTTGGCAGCCTTACTCCCTCGCGTCGCATGGCGGGGGTGGGGGGTGGGGGGAGTACGCTGCGTCAGCATCGAGCGGGTTTGTGAACATGCGTGGATCTAGAGAACACGGTCTGCGCTATGGGAGTGCACTGGCAGAACCGGAGTTAATGTTGCATAGCATACATGAATGCTATCGGCACCGTTCGGCCCGCGGCTACGGACATGCTTGATGAGGGTGAGGATCTCATACTTGTATGAATCTCGTTATTGTCATTGTTACAGGATAGTTTCTACACAATGTCGCTGATTACCTCGGATCTAATTCATCAGTGATCTGGTCAGCATTGGCGTCCGGAGTAGTAAATCCATCTGTTGTTCTCAGCAGTATATAGAACACCAGGTGTCTCGCCATGTGCTGCGGGCTCATCTGGGTGATGGCCGGCGCCGCGGCGGGCGTCGGGGCGTTCTTCGGCACTGCCGCTATCTCTGCCCAGCTCCTGACGCCGGAAGGGGTCGCTGCGGCCACAGCGGAACTCATGAAGCAGTCCATACCCATAGATCCAACGACAGATCCTCTGCAGCCAAAAGTCCTGCCGGATGCAATGTCAAGCATCGGCAAGCTGAGCGGCAAGGTGCTGCTGGCCGAGCACCTCGTGTTCGTGCTGATGCTGTTCTGGTGGTTCACAGTGTGGCTGCTCGGCGTAGCGCGCCGCCTGGCGGCCCAGAAGCCGAAGCAGCCCCTCGAGGCGCTCAAGCAGGTGTGTGGGATGGTCACGCTTGCCGTGCTCCTCCGATGTCCCCCACCTCTCTTGCGGGCAGGGGTGTCTTGGAGGGAGGGTGGAAGAACACAGGCCAGTGGCCGCCCTTGCGGGTCCATGCGACAACATGATACTACGTACATATGGTCGTGCCTAAACCCCCAACGCGACCCATGAAGTTGTGCTGGTCAGTGTGTACGGTTGACCCACCAGCGGCTGTGCCTCACCAACACCTTGCAATCTCAGATCCAGCGCTTGGGTGACGAGATCAGGGCGCTCGAGGGCCCAGTGGCGGCGCTGAGCTGGCCGGACGTCAGGGAGGCGCCTGCCCCCTCCATGGACATGTCAAAGCTGGAAGATGGGCAGGTGTGCTTGAATGGGGGTGAACATGGCTGGGGTGATTGACGAAGCTGCTAGAAGATGGGTGGGTGGGTTGGAAGCGGGTGGCAGGAGGGGGGCGTGGGGCGCCGCACCCCGCCGTCACTGGGGTACCGCTGCATGCTGCACCATTCGGAGGTGATGCGAAGCCACCTGCTAGGCCTGCGCTGCTTCCCTTCCCCGGCACGAATGACGTGCACGCTGCATGTGGCCGCTGCACAGCTGCGTGCTGCTTGGTGCAACCCCACAGGTAGCGGCGCATGTGGATGCGCGGGGCGCCATATATCGGTTCAAGCTGCATGGGGATGTGCACGTGAATATGTACTACACCAAAGCAGGTCAGCACGGCCTGCTCCACAATGCCTTGATCATCAGCTGAGAGTTAGTGCATCCGGCCTGTGCATTCCTGCGCATGCCCAAACAGCCCTTCTCGCCCCAGGGGCAGCGCAACAGGGAAGCGCCCCTCTCACGTTTTGCACCCGCACGCAATCGATTCACCCATGAGTATTTGCTGTGGCTCCGCTCCATCACAGGCCACATGCGAAGCGGTGATCTGCACGACAGCAACCAGTATGACGTGAGCCGCTATCAATGATGCAAGCAGCGGCGGGCCGGCGCCCGAGTCACAGCTGGGCAGGTGCAGGCCGGGCGCGGCCGCGAGCAGACGCGTCCTTGCAAACGCCCATCATATATGTTGGCCTCCAACCACCCGCCACGGGCCCATGCTGCAATTTCGTCCTCATCCATGCGGCGTCAGGTGGTGCTCAAGGGCCGCGTGCGGCTGACCATGAAGGCAAGCATTATGTACAAGTGCCAACCGCCGGGGCGACGAGCTGAGTGCGAGGACGCGCGTTTGCGCCGTGCTCGTCCATGCGCCGCGCCACAGCCGGCTGCCTACTCACCACAAAGTGCGGACTGCCGCTTTTGCCCTGTTCGCCCCCCCCCCTGTCCCCTTTTTCATCACCATAAGTAACAGGACCCCAAGACCCAAGAGCAGCAGGTTCATGAATACAAGGAGAATGATTTCATTGTCATCCCTGCCAGGTGCAAAGTAGGAATACGCTGGTGCAGGCAGACCTTTGCCGATTTGCTACTTCTGCCTTTGATCTTTGAAGACACAAAACGGCAATATGACACGGCTGGCATGTGCATGCGTGATCAGGGCGTCCCCCTCATCCGTCTGCGCCATGGTACTCTCCCCCATTGCCAGGTGGCCGCACATATTCGAGTTTCTGGAAGACAATTGCCTGCTGGAGTGGTGGGACGGACCGTTCAAGGCCTGGTATGCAGGGACTTCCGACCACCACCAGCTGACATATTGTATGAAGCCGGCATCACCTGCAGTGCTATGGCA